CCCCAAAACCCCAAAACCCCAAAACCCCAAAACCCCATCGTATAAATATTTCATTGAAAAGATGCTATTAAAATTATTTAAATTTAATCATAAATGGGTTCGTCACAATCGAATAAGAAATTCAAAATTACTAGTTGCAAGGAATCTGGAGAAGCCAGAGCTGAACTGCTGAAGAAGTACAAGATCAGTCATGGAGTGATTGGAGAAGGAGCTTTTGGAAAGGTTTATAAAGGATCTTGACTTGAAAATTCTAATAATAAAGTCGCTATTAAGGCATTCAAAAAGAAGCAACTCTATGAAGATGATATCAAATCTATTGAAGCTGAAATTAAAGTTCTTTCCCAGTTAGATCATCCTAATATTATTAAATACTACGAGTCTTTTGCTGACGAGGGCAATATGTATATAGTAACTGACTTTATCAAAGGAAAGACTCTCTCCAAATTGTTGGAGGAAGAAGCTACTGCCTTTAGCGAGGGCGAATCTGCTCACCTATTACACCAATTGGCTAGTGCTATTAACCACTGTCACTCTAAGAATATTACGCATAGAGACGTTAAGCTTGAAAATATAATGGTAGATGAAAGAATGAACGTTACTCTTCTTGACTTTGGGCTCTCCAAAACTTTCAATAAGAAGAAGCTCCTGAAGTCTGCTTGAGGGACCCCATCTTTCATGGCTCCTGAAGCAATGACTAACAACTATAATGAGAAGTGCGACGTATGGTCTTTTGGGATCGTCATGTACATCCTACTTACTGGTCGTCTTCCTTTCAGAAGTAAGACGCCTGAGAAAATTTTAAAAGAAGCTTTGAAATGTGATCTTAAGCTAGGAAGATCTTACTGGGACCATATCTCTAAAGAAGCCAAAGATTTAATCTCCATGGTCCTCAACCCAGATGCTCAGGAAAGATTCTGCATTCAAGAGGTTCTCGAGCACCCTTGGTTTGATATCGTTAGAGACGATTCTACGGATGATAGCCAGGAAGGTCCTGAGCTCAGAGTTCTAGAGACTCTGACTAACTTCTCTTTCGAGAATAAATTTACGAAAGCATGCATGAGACTCATAGCTAGCTTCACCAAAATTCCTAGCGATTCAGCTATCAGGCAGGAATTCAATAGAATCGATGAGAAGAGAAATGCTATTATTTCAAAGGAGGAACTGAGGAATGCATTTGACAAAAACGATTTGATTTATACCGACAAAGAATTAAAAACCATCATTGGAGATCTTAACTTTTCAGGTGAAGAATATATCAACTACACTGAGTTTTGCACTGCTACCATGAATAAGTCTGACATTCTTAATAGCAAAAATTGTAAGAGTCTCTTTTCCCTCTTTGACTCAGACAAAGATGGAGTGATTTCTGGCAAAGATATAATGATGGGTCTGGAAAAATCAGGAATTTTCACGAAGAGTCTTATTAAAGCAATAATAAAAGACTCAGGGATTAAAAAGAGCCAAACCTTAGGATTTGAAGAGTTTGAAGACATGTTGTCTTCATAACTCCTATCCTAAATCGTCTGCCACAGCAGCGTGTAATAAATTTTAGGTTAATATAATTCTTAGGGCTACTCATTGCTTTCTCTTTTACTTAACCTCCATAATCGGATATTTCCTCCATTTTTAATATTCAAAATTTTTGATTTGAAGTGAATTATCGGAAAGAATCACCGACCAAGGATCGGTACCTTCACCAAGAACTTATTCCTCAGTATTAGGGAGGGTAAGAAAAATTACTGGGCCAATAGAATGCTAGGCTGAATAAATCTATCGATTAGCTCTGATCCTTGCATTTTCACTAAGTTTTTGCTTCCAAATAGACATTTTATTTTAAAATGTGTCGGAACATATTCTAGTTTTTGTCCATGAAGGAATTTGGTAATTTACTTGTCTCTTGAAATTATTGTTCTAATAATGCGAAGAAATGCCACCTTATGCTGTCTTTGAAAGGAAAAATTATTACCTTACTTCAAGATGCAGTACTTTTTAAGGCTTCTGTTTTGAAATTATATATAAAAATTGCGTTCCCAGCTTCCTTAAAGCCTACCAAAATTTCTTCTTATCCTCTCTCGTTTATATGACATCATTCCTTCACCTAATTCCCCTCATACTTTGCTCTAACTTCCAGTAATTTCCAAGATCTTTACCTCTTTATCGATCAAATTCTGGTTTATTCAGTCTCTTGCACAGTTCAATTAATCAGAATCGTAACTGCCGCTATCTTCTAGCATGCATAAAATTCTTCAAAATCTCTCAAAAACACTATATCATAAAAAATCATTAAAAAAAAATCTATTACACACAGTTCTAATCTCTCTCCTTTAGTATAACTCACCAACCTAACCATACCTCCCATCTATGTTCAAAAAGTTTCTTTCCCCTCCCCCTACCCCCTCCAAGCCCCTGCCTTCTCTCCACCCCTCCTACCCCAAAACCCCTCTAATCCCATTCTAAATCCCAAAAACCGGTAATTTAAGAAAAAGAGGCCTGGGTAATAGAAATTTAGGATTTTATTCAACTTTTGGTAACTGAGAAGGGGTTTTGGGGTTTTGGGGTTTTGGGGTTTTGGGGTTTTGGGG